GGGAGGCCTTCATTCACCAGTGGATTGATCATGGATCTAAGAGACGATTACACATATGGTAGATCAACGAGACTAACATCACACACGTGGCTCTTTCACCGTGTGTGCAATTGTGAATGCTTATATTTATAGAGAGGTACGGGGACGACGTCATGATGGTTGTACAAAACCAGCCAGGTTTAGAGAAGGCACCGACAAGAAGAGCCAGAGTGGGCTCGAGTCAGTTCCAGCAGACTCGAGTCACCACCAGCAGTCGAATTGTCGCGAATCTGGGGCAGCTGTTCGATTGTTTTTTAAAACTTCCTCTTTTCTTTTCCCTGTCGCGTCTGCCAATGTTTGTCGCTTGTCCTGCCTTGCTTGTACCGTTTCCTTTCCCTCCGTGGCAAGTAAATAACTAAATTGAATCATTCTCACACTTCCGATTCCCAGTCCTGTAACCTCCTGGCCGATTTTCACCGATGAATCAACGGTACGTCCCACTCTGACGAGGCATGGGGCACTGCGTGTCGATGGTGAGGAACACAATCCAACAGACGACAACGAGAGACCAGATCACTGCGGTGGTCACCCACAACACGCGCACGCGGCATTGTTACCCCAACTTTCTGAATGGATGGTGACGATTAATTGATGATGATGATGTTGATGATTGGTTAATGATGATTGATCGATGATGGCGGTGATCGGTCGATGACAGCCAAGATGATTGATCATTAAACGAAATATCATGATCATTAAACGAAATATCATGATGATGACTATTCATTGTATTATTGGTTGTTGTTGTTCCTAAACATAACAATGAATAATATTTCCTGGTTCCTATAGCCTTAACAAGCTGTTAGGGCCGTGCTGTTAGTGAGCACCTATGAAGGCCGGCACGGCACACGAGGGTGTGGGTAGCCAGCACCACGCCTGACCACATCTGTCTCCCCATGTGGCGATGTATGCACACCGTAACAGGTACTCATGTGAGGCTGAGTCGACCTAGGGGAGACCCATGCCCGTTTCAGATAATAGCCACTGGTGTTGGTCGTGAGCTGGAATCGAACTCGGGTTCCCGGGTTCGTAGCGCAGCACGCTACCTGCTACACTACCGCACGCCACTATTTCGCACTACAGGGCTCTATATATATACACACATTCTATCACAATAACATACTACTGTGCGTGCGCGTATATAGATTAACAGTCGGTCAGGGCACATCCTTTAACAATGAGCACTTTTTTGACAAAGTGCAGCAAGCAACTCGCTGTCCTGGAAACCGCGTGGCCATGCCTTTGTGTTCTATAGCCAATTCATCATCGCCCACTCCCAACATCATCGACTCGATAGTTGGAAATGTTTTTTTTTTCTGTAACCACACCACCAATACCAATACAGCCGCCATTCGTCACTAAATGACGGTGACGTCACCATGGTGCCTGTGCCAGGCCAGGTGCACTTTGAGGCTGTCACGTGAAGTGTCGATGGCTCGCTGACAGGTCACGAGACAGACCCAGCAGGTGCCATGGGTCGGCCGACTGAGATGACCGCTGGTAGATGCACCACCTGCTGTATCCCCCTACTGTGTCAATTTGCTGCATCCTAGACGCCCGGCGCTCCGCTGGTTGTTGTGAGCGTCGCTCCTCTGCCCTCCGTTGTTTCTGGAGGGCGACTGCCTCCAATTGCCCAGTAGCAGCAGCGTCCTTCACGAGCCTCCTCCACATAGGCCGATGTTGACACCGCTGGTACCAGTCATCGGCAAGTCCACTCAGCTCCACGTCCTTCCGTTCCGCCGCCACCACCGCAACCACCACTACCACCACCACTACCACCACAACCACCACTGCGTGACATCGCTCCCTAAATCTGGGACACTTTATTTTTATTACCGAGAACCGAATACGTAAAAGCAAATAAAATCAAAAGCTTAACTCAATTCTGTCTCTCTAAACAAAAAAACATCTGGACCGGTTTCGATTTTCTAAGTCTCACCAAACCTTCGTTTGTATCGAGTACCCTTTCCAAACCCATCTGTTTAATCCAGCAGGATTTGTTTAACAAGCCTGACTCTGCTGATGAAATCCTGAAGAACGAAACCAGTCCAGAATGTGCTCGCTTGACCAAATGCTGCCTGACATAGAATTGACGGCGCTTTGTGCTTGGTTCTATGTGGAGACACAGATTGAAACTGTGCTCATATTTTAATTAACCCATTTACTCATGACGCATACTAACGGGGGAAGGGGCGAATACGATTTGCAATCACCTTTGGGTGGGCCACATGACCACACACCCCCTTGTTCAGCAATAACGCGAACGCATGGCCACAAGGAGCGTCCCCAGCAGGTGTAAAGAATCCGCGTGCATCGTCGCGAGGCACGGCGAGCTTGCCGCGTCGAACGTATCCCACCCCTCCGCCCCGCGCCTCTCCAGCTGCCGGACTAGTTGCGACCGCGATGCTCGAAGTGGTCATCGCGTCTCGTGTGGCCGCGGCCGCATGCAACGAAGTCGCGCAATTGGATGCGGGGCCCCGCGCGGCGCCGTGTTCGCGCCGCGCGTGCCCCGAACGCACGGCTCGAATATCGTCGAGTGGAATGTCAAAAAACAAAAATAAAAAAATAAAAATCCCCGCGCCCACCGAGTCGATTACATCTCAATCAAGAGGCTCCAGACGCCAATCAATTAATTCGTCAGCGCCCGGAGAATCGGATAGGGATGGCGCTAATTTATACAGCCTGCGACGATCAACTGGAGGCTTCGGGATTAGGGGAAATATGAGCCGAGCGCGGTTTATAAATTATATTAGGCTAATCATGGCACGGGATAGGGGCTCAGGATTTTTTTGGGTCGTAAATACATGCATATATAATTTACTTATCGCGTGTATGTGTATATGATCAAGCACGTGCGCTAAGCACGCCAGCACCTAGCTCTTTGTGTACGCGTGATTGCACGCAGATAAATAAAAAAACAAGCCGTTGTTAGACCTTGTCAGCGTTCGAGGCGAGGACTAATACAAAAAAGCTATTATATTATTACATCGTAATGCGAATAATTTGCCGCCGAGTCTTCACCGCTTAATACAGGAGGGTGCTGCTTCGCTGAAAATGCTGAGCCCATTCCGCTAGCGCGCGTTTCGCTTCCCGCTGGCAGGAAATCGGAGAGGCTGGAGAAGACTCACCGCGCACACCAGCGGGCGACATGAAAAAGCTCCGCACAGATTGATTCTCGAAATGCACCACCGCACGGCAATCGGCTGGCACACATCTCCGCCCGGAGTCTAGATCACGTGGCATTCCAGGCCAGTATCCCATCCAAGTACTAACCAGCTTCAACTTTGCTTAGCTTCCGAGGTCTCGCGTGCATATTTGACGTAATGCGACATTTCCTCTCTGTGACAACACTAATACGGAATCCATTTATGGCCATTACGAACGCGTTACAATTGGGAATTAAACGTAACACGCGCTAAAAGGAGTATTAGCCGCGTGCCTGTTTTGGCCACGAACACCATCAATGCCGTGTCGGAGACAAAAATATAGTCAGGTGTGAGTGACCGATGTTGACTCCACTGCCATCACCACCACCACAGCTTAACCCTTAATAGGCGCACGCGAACAACACCCGTGGCCCTTAAGCGTCTCAACGAGAATTCATTTCTCACCTGATATATTGTTAAAGTCGCTCGTAGACTGCAGTAGGTGGCACGTGACTAGCAGCGACCACAGGCGTTGCGAGAGGTCTACGTGATGTGATGTGCCGGGTTGCCGTCGTGGACAGACCCAGCGGCAATTAAGCCCTCCCCCCACCCACCCCCTAAGTGCACAACAGGGAGGCGAGGAATCTCTCTGTCTCTCGTGCAAGTTTGGAGACTGATGAGACACGGGTGCAAGTCATTTATCTGCCACCAATTTCCACGCGATGATGATGATGACCATGATGAGCCACGTTCGTTGAGATGTCATTTGTGGGAGCCAGGTGGCTTCCTGAAAAAGAGCTACATAGCTCAGTGGGCCTTACCTGCTTTAGTTTAGAGTTCAGTTTATACATCGCCGCGGTTGTGCTGTATAGCACTCTGAAGAATCTCCCATTCCCAGCACGTGGAGCGAAACGTCCGACATCGCTCCGATTAACCCGCGCGCACAACCAGAAACCAATTGCGAAAGAAACTCCCGGCACGTGGAACGAAACGTCGTACGTCATGCCGAGCCGCACGCGATACAACCCTAAAACACAGCTCCCCATTCCTGAAAAAAGCTCCCAGCATGTGGAACGGAACGTTGGACATCACGTCACGTCGAACAACAACGCGGTACAACTCGAAAACACCGCTCTCAGTTCCCGAATAAGCTCCCAGAACATAGATCGCGAAACGTCGGACATCGTGTCGAACAACACAGGGTACAACATCTCCCTCTTTCTCTCGGGTGTAAATGTGTGCGCGCTGCGTGAGCTCGCTCTGTGCGCGTGTCGTGTGCACGCGCTCGGTGTGCGCTTCGTGTGCGCTGTGTGCGCTCTTTGTACGCTCGCTTCGCGTGCATTGTGTGGTCTTCGTGTGCGCTTCTTGTGCATTGTGTGGTCTTCGTGTGCGCTTCGGGTGCATTGTGTGCTCTCTGTGTGCGCTTCGCGTGCATTGTGTGCTCTCTGTGTGCGCTTCGCGTGCATTGTGTGCTCTCTGTGTGCGCTTCATGTGCGCTTCGTGTGCGCTTCATGCGCGCTTCGTGTGCGCTTCGTGTGGGCTTCGTGTGCTCTCTGTGTGCGCTTCGTGCGCGCTCTGCCTGCCCTCTGTACGCACTGCGTGGGCTCTGTGTACTCTCTGCATGCGCCCTGTGTGCGTGCGCAGGATTGTGGAGATGAGACGGGAGGGAGTGCTGTGGGTAACGGGCTCGCAGAGTGCTGACGTCACGGCTGTAGGCTGTACCTCTGTGTGTGTGGGGGGGGGGGGGGGTGTGTGGAGCGGTTGTTCGCTCTTTGAGCCTTTGGGAAGCGTTCATATACTCACTCGAGGCGCGAACACGCGGCCACTCAATACTCGCGGCGCAGGAGCGCTCCGTGTCAACTCGGCTGCCGCACTTGGCGCTAAGCAGCGCCTGCTCCCGCCTCTCTCTCTCTGTCTCTCTCTCTCTCTGTCTCTCTCTTTCTCTCTCTTTCTCTGGTCGCTTCAGCTATTTGGCTCATTTATTTTTTAAGGTCTGACTTAGTGCGTTCATTTTTTTTTTCTTCGAAATGTTCGTTTAGAGGGTTTCTTTTTTTTTAATTCTTCGGCTCCGCCACTCACGACAATTTTGTTAGTGGTTCTTGTTGTTGGGTTTGTTTTGCGAGACAGCCGCGTCTCAATATCACTGCCTTCCGTGTCTCAATCATCGTCATCATCAGCATCGTCGTCGTCATTAATCTCAAAATAATTACTAATACTATTTGCATCATCATCATCATCAGTGGCAGCAGAAATGATAATGCAGCAGTAATAATTATCATCAGCAGCGGCGGCAGCATAAATGATAATATCAACAGTCATCATCATTATTAGCAGCAGCAGCAGTCAGAGTAATAATACCAGCAGCAGTTATAACTTACAACAAGTGACTGGAGCAATCGGAGTCGATAGGCATGCGCAGTGTTTCAGGTTACTGCTATTCAAATTGAACGAAAACCGATGATGGTAAGCAAAAGAGTTGACTATCCAGCTTGCTGATGCCTCATCGCTGTTGATACACCAGAGGTGAATTGGTGACCATATCGTGGGGGTGGTGGAGATGGTGGAGTTGGTGGTCCGTGGTGATCGTTCGGGGTGATGTTTGGCTCTGGCTACAATTGTGACGCGAGGGCTTCAGCCGTGCGAGTCGCATTACGCAGAGAGCCGGCTCGCTCTGACGGTGCCGTTGCAGGAGGGGGGGGGACCGTCTGGCAGAGGCGCGGGGGGCCACGAGGAGTTAGACAACTCGGCAGACATTGAGACACATCTGACGTTTTGTTGTTTGTCGCGGGCAATGCCTAGGGGAGATTGGCAGCTAGAACACAACTCTAAGCCAGTGTAGATCAATAGACGCATGGACAGACAGATGGGTAGATAGATGAAGAGACAGATACCGATACACAGAGACAGACAGTTCGAGGAACACGAAGATAGACAGACAGACGCAAGGACAGACAGATACCAATGCACACAGATATCGGCCTAAACGATAGATACACACAAGGACATATACATCTGTCAATCTCCAAAAACAAAGAGATTGACAGATACAGGGACACGGAAACAAGGACATACATCGATCAATAAAAATAGGAAAACAGGTGGACGATTACAAAGGACACGGACATGGACCGACAGAATTAAGAACAAAAAGCTTTTAGCAGATACAAGGACAGCCATCTAGATAAGAGACACCGAGTAGAGAGACACTGGGTAGTGAGACACTGGCTAGAGAGACACTGGGTAGTGAGACACTGGGTAGTGAGACACTGGTAGAGAGACACTGTGTAGAGAGACACTGGGTAGAGAGACACCGGGTAGAGAGACACCGGGTAGAGAGACACCGGCTAGAGAGACACTGTGTAGAGAGACACCGGTAGAGAGACACTGTGTAGAGAGACACTAGGGAGAGAGACACCGGGTAGAGAAACACCGGGTAGTGAGACACTGCTAGTGAGACACGGGTAGAGAGACACTGGCTAGAGAGACACTGGCTAGAGAGACACTGTGTAGAGAGACACTGTGTAGAGAGACACCCGTAGAGAGACACCGGGCAGAGAGACAGAGGCACGCACAGCTGCAGTGCCCGAGGCGCCTTGCACGGTGGGCAGAGGAGCCGAGGGCGTTGTAGCGGTGCCAGACCGCCCTGTGGCGATGGGTGCCGCATGGCTCATCGGGAGGGCGCCGCAACTCGCCATGAAGTAAAATCAGCGCAGTCCACACCATCCCAGCGCGAACGTCAACCCCGGAGGAAGGGGCCCTCGACCCTGCCGGCCCTCTGGCCCCACAGTGGGGGGTGGGGGGGGGGTGGGGAGAGGGGGTCTCTCGCCACGACTCCACGCGGCGCCAGCACCATGCGCGACCAGAGGCTCAGGTGGAGAAGCCTCGTCCTGGTGTGTCGCGCCTTCTGCCTGGTGAGTCGCGCGAAGCGAACACGCCGCAGTGGCAGCGGTGCCGTCGTCGGTGGCTGTGAGCGGGGCTCGAACTCGGAGCACGGGGTTCGTAGTGGAGTGGGCGAACCGCGATGCGACCGCTGCCCACACACAGACACACAGACACACAGACATATAAACACACAGACACACAGACATATAAACACACAGACACACACAGACACACACACAGACACACAGACACACAAACACACAGACACACACAGACACAGACATATAAACACACAGACACACACACAGACACAGACATATAAACACACAGACACACAGACACACAAACACACAAACACACAGACACACAGACACACAGACACACACACAGACACACAGACATATAAACACACAGACACAGACATATAAACACACAGACACACAGACAAGGACACACACACACAGACACACACACACACAAACACACAGACACACAGACACACACACAGACACACAGACACACAGATACACAAACACACAGACACACAAACACACAGACACAGACACACACACAGACACACAGACACACAGACACACAGACACACAGACACACAAACACACAGACACACAAACACACAGACAAACAAACACACAGACACAGACACACACACACAGACACACACACAGACACACAGATACACAAACACACAAACACACAGACACACAGACACACAAACACACAGACACACAAACACAGACACACATACACACAGACACACACACAGACACACAAACACACACACACACAGACACACAGACACACAAACACACAGACACAGACACACATACACCCAGACACACACACACAGACACACAAATACACAGACACACAAACACACAGACACAGACACACAAACACACAGACACACACACACAAACACACAAACACACAGACACACAAACACACAGACACAGACACACACACACAGACACACACACACAGACACACAAACACACACACACACAGACACACACACACAGACACACAAACACACACACACAGACACAGACATATAAACACACAGACACACAGACACACAGATACACAAACACACAGACACACAAACACACAGACATATAAACACACAGACACACAGACACACAGACACACACACACAAACACACAGACACACAGACACACACACAGACACACAAACACACAGACACACACCGACACACAGACACACAAACACACACACACACAGACACACACAGACACACACACACAGACATATAAACACACAGACACACAGATACACAGATACACAAACACACACACACACAAACACACAGACACACAGACACACACACACAGACACACAAACACACAGACACACACAGACACACAGACACACATACACAAAGACACACACACAGACACACAAACACACACACACACAGACACACACAGACCCACAAACACAGACACACAAACACACACACAGACACACAAACACACAGACACACACACAGTCGTGGTGGGCCGTGGTGGCCGCGAATCGAACTCGGGTCGCCAGGTTCGTCGCGCAGTGCGCTCACCACTCATACACACGACAAAGATCCCCCGTGTAGGCTTCACAGACTGCTGGGGCAAGTGCTATTTGCGAGCACCTATGAAGGCCGGCACGGCACACGAGGGGGTGGGTGGGTGGCCAGCAACCGCGATGAGTTTATTAATTGAATTGGAAGTGGAACGGCGGGAAGGAGACACCAGCACCAGTTACTCATTTGAGGCTGAGTCGACCTAGGGGGAGGCCCAGGACCAGTTCAAATGATCGTCGCTGGTGTCGGTGGCCGTGAGCGGGGATCGAACTCGGATCGCGGGTTCGTAGTGCAGTGCGCTAACCGCGACGTGACCGCTCCCCACACACAGATACACACACAGACACACAAACACATACACTCACAGACACACAGACACAGACACACACAGACACACACACAAACACACAGACACACACACAAACACACACACAGACACACACACAGACACAGACACACACAGACACACAGACACACAGACACACACAGACACACACAAACACACACACAAACACAGACACACACAGACACACACACACAGACACACACACAGACACACACAGACACACAGACACACACAGACACACACACAGACACACACACAGACACACACAGACACACACACATAGACGCGTAGAGTAGCGGTGCGCGCTCATGGGAACCCGAAACAGAAATGATTTTGGGGGAGTAAGGGGGGCGAGAGGAGGAGGCTGTCCATTTACGAGCTCGAAGTGGAGATGACAGAGGAGATACAGACAAGAGAGACAGAGAGCGAGCGAGCGATGTAGCGAGATGAGAGAAACGTGGGCAAAAAGAGAGACGTAGTGAGATGAGAGGAGATAGAGATGAGAGAGGAATGTGGCGACACGAGAGAGGGGGGAGGGGTGTTGCTGCCCCTCCCCCATCCCACTTCCATTTCAATTCATAAACTCGTCGCGGAGATGATCGAGGCGTGTACAGACCAAGAGACACGATCACACGGAGCGCGATGTGAAAGAAGAGATGCACATCGTGGTCCAGATGTCTTGTGACCCTCATTTAATGATCTAAAACGCAATAATATTTTTCCTTTAAAGTAAGGGTTATTTAAAACGAAAATTAATTGCCAAAGTAAACTAAAAAATTCGGGAGTAAATTAATGGGGGGGGGGGGGGGGGGGGAGTCACAAGACATTGGGACCGCCCTGTACATAAGAGATAGGCAGGACGGGGGTGTTAGCGGCAGAGACGCGTGGTGAGATGGGAGAGAAGTCGGCACCAGACAGACGCGCGTGGTGGATGAGAGAAAAGGAGCGAGCTGGTGCAGAGTGCAGTGAGGTGAGAGGGCGATCAGATGAAGATGTGGTGGGTGATGGCTGTGAGATGTAGTGCATCTTCACGTACTCAGCGGATATTGGTGTAGAGGCTGTACGTTACCGGGAAATCCCGGCTACTTAAGCTTCGGCTTATTTTTTTTGTTCAATGCTTTTTTTATTCAGTCATTTTATTGTGGTGTTTGTAAAATTGTATGTCAACAGGAGCGCGGTACACAGCGCAACAAATCTCGATGTGGGGGTGGGGGGGTGCACAGAAGCTCCATGTACAAAAGCCCCCAAACTCTGCGCTCCTGGGTTTCGAGGAGGAGGGGGAAAGACATGAGACTCACTGCCCCAGCGAGCTGCTGGGGCATGCGAGCGGGAGCGTGAGAGTTGTATAAGGGGAGCGGGGGGAAGATGAAGGAGGAAAAAATTAACCCGTAAAAACAAACCTCTTCTTGGTTCTTTCGGTAAAGTCACGTAGAAGGGAAGTAATAAAATAATAAAAATAAAACATAATAAAATAATTCTCACGACGTTTCGGCCACAACGCAAGCAGCCGTCTTCAGGTGGAGAACAGGTCTGCCAAGTAGACAGAGTCTGTCTACTTATTATTTTATTACTTCCCTTCCACGTGACTTTACCGAAAGAACCAAGAAGATGAATCCCTGCAGTCACGAAAGCTTTAAATCGAAATTTAACCGTAAAAACAAAGTTTTTCACTATAAATCCTTTATATGCGTGGCATCGGTTTTATTTTATTATTCATTTCAGTTTTTCTTGAGTAAGAGTTTCTTTTTTATCACATTGGTATTTTAAATTAAATATGAAATGTTTTTTTTCCTAAAAAGTGGAAAATTTTGGAAAAAAAATTTCACGAAAATAAATTGTCACGAACAACGAGTCTGTGTGCAAAATGTCAGCTCCATTGGATCACGGGAAGTGGGTTAAAAAACGACCGAAAGATTTGCACGGTCGTAAGTGCGCAAGCAAGCAAGCAAGTGAACTTAATATAAAGGATTTAAAAAGCAAAGTGATGATGGGGTAGAGGGGACGGGGAGACGGAGGAGAGGGGGCGTTTGGGGGAACTTTTCCTCATTCTTAAAATCAGAACCTTTAAAACTATTTATTATTATTTTATTTTACCAGGTAAGGTCCACTGAGGTATTCTTCAAAAGCGACCTGGCCACAAATTATGGCTCAACGAAGTGGCTTATCACGTGGAAATGTATATCAGTCGCCAAATACTCTAATCGCGTGATGTTGATTCTACATGTGGAGGGTAAAAACCAGAGGACCCGGAAAAAAATCCACGCGACCACAAGGAGAGACACGCAGACTCGAAATATACAGCAAGCGTCAGGGTCGGGGTCGAACCCACACCCTCCTGTATACCTGGTGAGGGAGTTAACATCTCATAGCCACTGTGTTGATAATGAGATGAGAGAGAGAGACACGCAAACTCCAAATATACAGCAGGCGTCAGGGTCGAAATCGAACCCACGACCTCCTGTATACCAGGCGAGGGAGTTAACATCGCATAGCCACTGTGATGATGATGATGAGAGAGACCAACGCAAACTCCAAATATACAGCAAGTGTCAGGGTCGAAATCGAACCCACGACCTCCTGTATACCAGGCGAGGGAGTTAACATCTCATAGCCACTGTGATGATGATGATGAGAGAGAGACACGCAAACTCCAAATATACAGCAAGTGTCAGGGTCGAAATCGAACCCACGACCTCCTGTATACCAGGCGAGGGAGTTAACATCTCATAGCCACTGTGGTGATGATGAGATCAGAGAGAGAGACACGCAAACTCCAAATATACAGCAGCAGGCGTCAGGGTCGAAATCGAACCCACGACCTCCTGTATACCAGGCGAGGGAGTTAACATCTCATAGCCATTGTGATGATGATGAGAGAGAGAGACACACACAGACTCCAAATATAAAGTAAGCGTCAGGGTCGGGGTCGAACGACCTCCTGTATACCAGGCGAGGTAGTTAACATCTCATAGCCACTATGATGATGATGAGAGAGAAAGAGACACGCAAACTCTAAATATACAGCAAGCGTCAGGGTCGAAATCGAACCCACGACCTCCTGTATACCAGGCGAAGGAGCTAA